GGCGGTGGCGGGCACCGACAGCGATCCGGGAGACTCCGTGAAGCCGGCGAGTGGATGATGGATGGCCGAGATTTCGGGCCCCCCCGCTCGGTGCACGGCCCCCCTCCGCTGCTCTCCGGGCTGGCCATGGAGAGCCACCGCCTGGGAGCCACTGGCCGCCTGGCCCCCGCCGCCGGGCCCATGGCCGCCGGGCTCCCCGCCGCCCTCCAGCCCGGGAAATTCCTCGCATCGGGCATCAGCCTCCACTCGCACCCGGGTAAGGCTCCGCGGACCCCCGGTACCCCCCGCGCCCTCCCTCCCCCCCCCCCCCCCCCCCCCCCCCCCCCCCCCCCCCCCCCCCCCCCCCCCCCCCCCCCCCCCCCCCCCCGGCCAAAAAAAAATGTAATAATAATCGTATATTTCTGCGCTAGCAGCTTTTTTGCATGTTTCTCCCCTCTCCCCACTGCATCGCGTGGTTTTGATTTAAAGAGGAAAAACAGGGGAATGCGGGGAAAACAGGAAAAAAAACAGGGGGATGGCAAAAAAAATAAGGGAGTGGAGGAAAAAATAAGGGGATGTGGGGAAAAGTCGCGGCTAGCCGATAAGAATCCTCTCTCCCAGCGCGCGGTTTTGTTGGCACTGAGGAAAATCCCCGCCGAGTCGGCTGGGGAATAAATCTGAAGAATAAATCGGATTTTCGGGAAAGCTGGGAGAGGCGCAGACCGGGGCGCGCAGGGACGGGGCTACGCTGCCCGACGCGGTGCTTCCCGGCCAGGCAAAGAAAACATCCCTGAGCTGGGAAAACGGGGTAAAATGGAGCAGTTTTGGTGATTTCTTGCCCGGTGCAGCCCGAGCCCTGCCGCGGTCCCGCTGCCTCCGGGCAGCGCTGCCGGCACCACCGCTTTTGGTTGGTGTTTTTTTTGTTGTTTTTTTTTTTTTTTTTTTTTTTTTTTTTTTTTTTTTTTTTTTTTTTTTTTTTTTTTTTTTTTTTTTTTTTTTTTTTTTTTTTTTTTTTTTTAATTTATTTTCTCGGTAATTTTTATTTCTTAATCCTGCAAGGAAAACTTCCATGCAGGGATTGC